AAGATAAGTGAGGGTGAAGTCTGCAAAGCTCTCAAAAGAATGAAGAAGGGGAAGGCAGTAAGACCTGATGACATTCCAGTGGAGAATTGGAAATGTCTTGGAGAGATGGCAGTGAGGTTTTTGACTCAGATATTCAATGGCATATTTGAGCGTGAGAAAAATGCCTGAGGAATGGAGAAGAAGTGTGCTGGTGCCAATTTTAAAGAACAAGGGTGATGTACAGAGTTGTAACAACTACAGGTGAATTAAGTTGATGAGCCACACGATGAAGATCTGAGAGAGAGTTGTGGAAGCAAGACTTAGATGAGAGGTGACTGTGAGCAGCAGTATATAGTAGTTTCATGCCAAGAAAGAGCACCACAAATGCTATCTTTGTGTTTAGGATGTTGATGAAGAAGTACAGAGAGGGTCAGAAAGAACTTCATTTTTGCCTTTGTGGATTTAGAAAATGGCATATGACAGGGTGCTGAGGGAGGAGGTGTGGTATTGCATGGGGAATTCTGGAGTGTCAGTGAAGGATGTTAGACTGGTACAGGACATTTATGAAGACAGCAGGACAGTGGTGAGATGTGCTGTAGGAGTGTAGCTTCAAGGTGGAGGTGGGAGTGCATCAAGGATCAGCTCTGAGACCCTTCTTGTTTGCTCTGATGATGGACTGACTAACAGATGAGGTCAGACAGGAATCCTCGTGGACAATGATGTTTGCAGATAACATTGTGATCTGTGGTGCGAACAGGGAACAGGTGGAAGAGATCTTAGAGAGGTGGAGGTATGCACTGAAAAGAAAAGGAATGAAAGTCAGCTGTATTAAGACAAAGTACATGTGTGTGAATGAGAGGGAAGCCAGTGGAACAATAAAGCTGCAAGGAACAGAGGTCATAAAGGTGCAGGACTTCAAATATTTGGGATCCACTGTCCAGGAAAATGGGGAGTATGGTAAAGAGGTGAGGCTGCACGGTGGCGCAACTGGTAGAGCTGCTGCCTCTCAGCGAGCAGGTCCTTGGTTCAAACCCCGGTCCAGGGGCCTTTCTGGGTGGAGTTTGCATGTTCTCTCCGTGCATGCGTGGGTTTTCTCCGGGTACTCCAGTTTCCTCCCACAGTTGTAGATGAACAGATGCTGGGATATATTCATCATTTAACGCGGGTTCCTCATTTTTCTGGACTGAATAAAACGTGCATTGAATTTAAGGAAATGCAAAGTGAGACGTCATTTATATTTGACCCATCAAAATGAATGCGGTCATTTATTTACAGAATCAAATTTAACATCAAACATGTACATTAATTTGGCAAATTATGAAAATAACAATATAAGCAATCAATCAGGAAAAATCATACGGCCATGATTTTTCCGTTGCTGCACCACAGACATTTATAAAACTGTACAACTATGATCTTTTACCCACACGGATGTGAATAAGCACTTTACACAGACATTTCTAAATATCTGGGAGAATTTCTACTTGATAGAAAGTTAAAGATGAAAGAAGTTAAAGGGAGTAAGATTGAATGGGAAGGGAGGAATGTTCACCAGAACCGACACTCTCCATCAGAAGCCCAGCTCTCCTTCGGTACGCTTGGTAGGAAACTTGATCCATTACCTTTCTGAAGATTTATCAGCAGATATGGAATTCCGTTAACGCTACCTGTCCAGCGTCTCCTGATAGTGGCTGTAGCTCGTCAGAAGTAGTAGCTGGTGAAAGTTATAATCCCATGGAACTCGGAAGAGCCTTTTGTCATGTCAAGATCATCCCGTCTCTAACAGAACTTGAGCAGAACCAGCAGAAAACTCTCCAGCACTCCAGCAACTTCAGAACTCCAGAACTCTAGAAGTCTGACAACTCTCCAACTCTGTGTCTCTGAGTCTGTAACTCTGTGTAGACCAGGAAGTACTGACATTTTAAAGACTCTTTCCCGGTTCACTTTTTGGGATTTTTCATTGGTCAGAAACGACCAGACGGGGTGGGTTTTGTGACGTAAGAGGTTAGAGACAGCGAGAATTGTTATGGGACAGCTCAGAAATGTTCTCACAGACCGAGAGAGTTTTGTTTTGGCGTGTTTCAGGAAACAGGTGCAAAACATCTCTACTTACGTCTGAGAGGATTCTAAAACATGACAGTTTTAACATAACAACTTGTTTTTCGTTTGACTGTAACCTTGTAAACGCACACACTTGCTCATTCAAAAGCAGAAATCAGAAAAATGCATAATTACTCTGCAACAGCTTTTAACATGAGAATAAAAATCATTACTCAGTTAATAAAATTGATTAGTTCACTGCAACATCTAAAATGGTTTGAACTAAGACACTTTGATTATCAACATTTGTAAGATAGTAATGATAATAAAAAGAGAGTGTTCTTTTCACTTGAATCTTCAAGAAAGAAAGTCTCAGGATGGGTGAACCTGTATTTCTGAGTTCAAATGAATGAAATGACAGTTCCTGTCCCACAAGGTTCTTAAGGTCAAGAGTTTTGACCTTAGACTTAGTTTCGACGTAGGCCTAGTCCACTACAGTCCCCCCTTTGGAAATCATCACCTGTCCATGGAGATGAATTCCAACTATGGACTTACGTCGTCGATTGTCCTTGAAGCTTGATGTAATCCAGCAAAGAAACAAGAGTCAAGAGTAATCCAGCAAGGAAAACAAAAGTCAAAAGTAATCCAGCAAGGAAAACAAAAGTCAAGGTAATTCCACAATGTTCTTGGTAATTCCATTGTGTTGATTATAATTCCATAACGTCTCGATAATTCCATTGTAGCAATGCTTTAACCCCTTGGAAACACAGTCTGTAATCCACTGGAAAAAGTCATATAATCCACAATGGTAAATC